CAGTGGCCCACCTCTCCAGCCTATTCTCCAGCATGGAGAATACTGCTAGATAGATAAAGGAATCCTAGGCAAAGGAAGCCAGTTTGGAGTACAGTATGGCTCATGCACATGTACTAGTAGAACATGGCTCTTAGAGATGTCTATGTACAGAAGATACCATGTGGCCAAGTGTAAGCACCTTTATTCCAATGTCTTACAGGACTGTTTTCCTAAAACAGGAACACCCAATAACCCTTTAGCAACTTTGCACCTTGTTTCTTGAAAGTAATTTAGATGCCACTGAATCAGCTGTCCTGGTGTCTGCACGTCTCCTATTGTCTTTTCTCTTTTCTTAGGAATACTGTCTTTTTTCTTTTCTTAGGTGAGAATATTAGTTGAAGAAAAACATGCATCTCTAAGTGTTACATTTTGGGAACCACAGTAGCCTCTGTTACCCAGGAAAGCAGAACTGACGATGACAATAACAATCCCTTCCGGTCTTACAATTTATAAACTAACTACTACTGACGACTGAATAAAAACAGAAAAGAGAAATCTCTAGAAATGCTGCAAGAAATAATATGGCAGAATAATCAGAGGAGGAGTTATTTCTTAGAATAACTGTAAGCACATGAGAGGAATGTGAAAATAAAATGTGGCCGGTATTATGGAACACCAAACAGGGATCAACACCAAAGCAAACTTGTCAGTAACTCCATCCTTCTCATGTATTTAAAGCATTGCTATTGTAGCTGTTTCACTACAGGAACTGGGAGGTATCCCCTGACCTGGCTGCTGTGAGTTAGCAACAGCCTTAACTCTACTGCAAATGCATTCTGCAACTAAAACAGTCTAAACGGGTATTAATGTGGGTAAAGTCAGTGCCCCAACTCGATCAAGTTTGTTAGAAAATTTGGAAGAGCTGCTAACTTTCCACAACAAGGAAACAACAGCACAGAAGTCACTAGCACAACGGCAACTCGGATTCTGTTCAGCAGTGGCCATATTACATTTACAGTTACTCCCCCACCGCTGACTGTGAAACAAAGGCTTGTCCAAGACACGGTGACTCCTCTCTTCACTAAGGCAAAGCCCGCGTTCACCTCAGTCATACTGAGTGAGACGTGAATAAAGTAATTTAATTATAAACCAGTGTCTTCACACAAGCCCTCCTTTTGGCCTCTTGACTGTTTCCTCTATCGTGAAACTCACCACTCATCTGGTATCTCAAAAACCCAGTTTGTTAGTAAAGTTTCTACTATGTCACATCTTGCTAACACGGAGCCGGGTAGGGGGAGAGAATACAGGAAAACTGTTATACAGTCGGGATAAAATGATGAGGGAGAGGACCAGAAAAATTCCAAATCTGAGAAGCAGACCATCCCAGATTTTATTCATTTTTTGCAGTCTGTTCCAAGGAATTCTACAGAACTGTTCCTTATTAGACTGAACTACATCTCACTCAGGACACTCCTAAGAGCCACAGGGAGACCTGAGGTTGCACTAGCACGTACAGTCCAGTATTTCTTGGTTTTCAAAGTCTGGAATTTGCCAAACACAATGTTCCTGAACAACCCAGGACACTGTTAGGACCTGCTGGATACTATTACCCTTTGTTAAAGATTTTACTTGGAAAAATGGTGACTACAACATTCTGTAGATAGTCTAAGCACATGTATCATCCTTAAGACTATTGGGGGAGAGAGTGAGAGGTGACTTTTGTACTTCAAAGCTCGAAAGAGTTGATTACCAACAAACATACAAGGTGAACACTGAGGGAAAAGACTACAACTTCTTTGAAACAGTGCTGTACACCCAGTGATGGTAAGTTCATTAACTGATGACAGCAAGTATTTGCTATCAGGCAGGGTAGTTAAATATGAAAGGCCTGAATGTCTGTAATCTACCTCTTAAAAACCAAAGCAAAAAATGAACTAACAAAAAGCCTTCCTCACTTGTGGAAAAATGATGTATTAATTAAGAAATAGGAAAAAAAAAAAAAGAGCGCCCTTCATTTTTAAGCCAGAGAAAGTATTACACAAATGTAAGCGAAACTTACTGGACTGTTAGCACTAGTTCTTAAAATCATGTTCTAATTTTATTTACTGTTAGTTTAACCCTGATTAACCACATAAAATGTGCTATTTTCTAGCAACGTACCATTTTGCATTTGACAGAAATTATCTTTCTTGGTTTGCTGTATACTGGTGGAATTTAACAGGGATTTTTTGTTCAATACAGCTGAATTTATTTCAGAAACAAAGACTGAAACCACTGTAGGTTTAATAAAGGTAAGGTTTTCTTAAACTTCCAAAAGTAACTATTTTTGATACTTGGGAGTCTCTCATTCCCATCTATAACCTTACCACTCCTCTATAATCCTGGTAGGTTACAATTAAAGACATGATAAAAGCTTAAAACAAAAGGACACTTTTTACAGGGAAGAACACAAGCACGCGTTATCTTACCTGTCTCTTGTTGCTTTTGCAAGTTTGTCTTCTGATTTCTTATCATGTGTCTCTAAACCCAACATGAAACTGCCCCTTCCAAGCTGAGCTTCTGACTGTTCCAATTTTTCAGACAAATCAAAGACTTGGCCAGTGGTGTAGTCGGCATTCTTAGGAGAAAGAAGCCAATAAACATACTGAGTTTTAAGCTATGAATTCAAGAATTTATACACAAAATAAAGAAAACCCGACAAGAGCCTTTAAGGCTGTAGCACCGCAGGTTTTAACCTGTACCTGCAACGGAAGCAACACAGAAGATGAGTTGGCACACACGTGCTGGTTGAGAGAACAGCAGCTGAACATCTGACAGATGCTCAATACCTAAAGCCTGACAAAGGCACCATGCCCTAAGTTAGGAAAGAGTACGACAAACTCGGTTTTGACCAAGAGAAAAGGTATCAACTTGGTATTTGCAGAAGGAAGGTTTTGATGCTGAGCTGCTACACTGAAGGTCTAACTGCAGTACTGCTGTTGCAACCTCATTTTAGCAGCTTCGAATTTTTAAGTGTTTATTCAATACCATTATTTTAAGGCATACTATTCACTACAGTGCTGTCAAGACACGTAAGGTTAAAAGGTGTTTAAGACAAAAGTCTAAGCATATAGAGAACTTGGTAAAATTAAACATTAATTATTCCCACCTTCTACATTCAAAGAGCAGATGCAAGGAACACTGCAGTATTTATGACTAGGAAATCCTTCTTTTTTTGTTTAATGTGACAAATAGATTCTTACTGTAGGGTCTGCACCTATCAGTGTGTCAGTAAGCATTTTACAGCAGAGAGTCTGGCTTTCAGCACTAATGAGTTAACACATCGTGTACTATGGTACTTACAGTAAGCAAACTCGAAGAACTGAGTGTGTTTACCCAGTACTTGTTCCACAAAAGCTCGAGCAATTTACGATCCAAGGATGATTTAAAGTACGAGACTTCTAAAGCATAATACCTTTAAAAACAAAAATGCAAGCAAAGTAAGCTTCCATCTAAATACATCGTTTAGCTGTGACACCCAAAGTACATGTATCTCAAAACATCTTTACCAGTGGCAAGTATCTTCAAAAATTCAAAGGACTGACCAATAAAAAAGTTACCCCCAGTTCCAATTCTAACTCTGAAAGATGTTCGTAAGTCTTTCACATGTAGCTGTAATAGAGGTATGCGTAACACTGCTGTGTTCTACTTAATATGATTCTAAGGGGTTCTTTAATTATTCTCTTAACTTCTGCAATACAATGATGCCCTCCCTGTTCCATGCTTGGGACCTTCAGTAAGTAACAATTATTACGGTACAGATGACTGCAGTTTTGCATATATTGACTCTAATTCAATTAGGGACGTCTGACAGCAGTAAATGTTACAAGCAGGCAAACAATCTGCCTACCACACCTATTTTGAAAGCCAGGCTTTGGTGTGCTACAGAATTCACAAGAGATGATAAAGCAGATGGAAAGCTGAGCTAGGCAGTCATTAGTGTATGTGAATTACAGCAACATTAAAGAGCTATAGTAAACTTTATTTTGATTAGAAAATTGTTGAGTAGGTTATCAATAATCCTCTTATCCCTTGATTTCTCTGGAAAGTTATTTTGCATTGCCTTTCTGTATGAAATTCTCTCCGAGACAACAATGCTTTAACATCTACCAACACATCACGCTTTAATATTGGAACAAACACCCTTATTTCACATATGCTAAGAAAAATGAGGTACAGAGTCAGTTCTTCAAAGAGATGTGTGGCAGATTCCAAATTAGAAATCCACGTTGTTTGAGGAACAGTGTAATAAGCTTGCTTAGAAAGATTAAATGGAAGCAGTTTCACACTGGGCATTGAATACCAAGGAGTTTGACTGAGATTACCCAAACCACTACCGTGAAACAATCAGTAGTCACTGGCATTCCAAACAGGCAGAATCATTAAGGGTCTAGAGAAGAAGTCTTATGAGGACCATCTGAGGGAACTGGGGTTGTTCAGCCCGGACAAAATGAGGCTGGGGGGAGACCTCTCTCTACAACTACCTGAAAGGAGGTTGCAAAGAGGTGGGTGCTGGTCTCTTCTCCCAGGTGACAAGTGCTACGACAAGAGGAAATGGGCTCAAGTTGTGCCAGTGGAATTTAAATTGGATATTAGGAAAAATTTCTTCACCAAAATGGCTGTCAGGCACTGGAACAGGCTGCCCAGGGAAGTGGTTGAGTCACCATCCCTGGAAGGATTTAAAAGACGTGTAGATGCGGCCCTTAGGGACATGGTTTAGTGGTGGAATTGGCCAGTGTTAGGTTCACGGTTGGACTCAACGATAACAAGGGGCTTTTCCCACCTAAAAGATTCAATGATCATCATTCAAGTTTAATTCTTAGTCAGACTCCCCATACTACTGAGAGGACACCACCACTCTAGTCTTTTGTATTATCAGTAATTCAGTAATGTGATAAATTTCCAGTTTTAATTGCCTCTCTTTGACGAACTGCTGTTTCTTTCTAGGAAGGACTGGAAAATATTTTCTCAGTTTGGCTGGAAAAAAATGGCTTGTACAAGAAACCAACTTCCTGAGGTGGAGGTTATGATGGTAACTGCTAAGCACTTCCAACTTCAAAACAAATGACCAAATGAGCTCTCCCAAACTGAGCACCTCTAAAAAACAAAGGATAAAATATATCCTCCTTCCATGCTTCAAAGCGTGACGTTATGGCCAATGCCGGACTTACAGGGACTACTCTGAAATTATAGGAACATTACAGCTCTACAAAAATTTCTGTTCTGGAGTGTTCCTTACAATTGGATAGGCAGACCAATTCCCATTTTTTTAAATTTCTTCCTATCTTCAGGGTCAGACTTTGTACGCAACTATAAACGCACCGAAGAACAGATACCCGTGCGCCAAAAAGGAGAAAGAATGACACAACAGCCTACAAGACACACTGGTGTCAATGAGATCTTCCAGTTCTCTTCACACAGATGCCGAAGCTGTATGCTTGTCAAACACCTGAAGGCAGAACTGAAAGCAAGGCGACGCTGAAAGCAGCAGTCCCAGCTTTCCTGAGCTGTTCATTGCAAACACTGCCTCTCCAATATCTGCCTCTACTTTCCACCTCACCTCAGCTTAGCCAGGAAGAATGTGTGTCCTGCAGTAAGTTGGACCAGACAAGGGGGCTGACCTGGCAAAACAAATGCCTGCCAAGTAAGTAAACGTAGGTATGGAGTGAGGAACATGTGGCTGGGGATAGAACCATTAAAGAAAGAATGGTTAAAACTAAACTACCTTTTTCAGTTCATGGAAAGTAAACTAGCAGGAGAGAAAAAGCAGTGATTCTGCCTGTTGCTGACGTTATTCCTGAAGCAGGTACACTTTCCAATCCTACCAAAGACACAAACCATCCTGACACGCCCAGTGATGCGGGATAAAGAGATGCACAGCACTTGCCACTACTCAGAAGAGCAGATGGACTAGAGTTTCTCTGGCCCTGCTGCTAAACCTACATCTGACCCCTTCCTCCCTCCCCTAAAAAATGGCCATTACTTACAAGTGTTCAGGAATCAACTCCTAAAGCTTTTAACCAGGTTCACTTTCACCCCTTAAAATATCTCCTGATAAAAGAGAATAACACTTTTCCACAACACCAACAGTGCTAAAGAAACACAGAACTTCAGCACTCCAAATGTACTTTTCTGTACCGACTCATCAAACTAAACACAACAATTAAGAACTTGTGCTAGAGACAGCAGTTTTTAATGTTACTTACTGTTTACAATGCACACCAAAGTCTTCTATTTTATTAAGCGGAATAGTCTGGTATTCAGAGGGCCCTTCATCCGGAGGTTTGTAGCCCTAAAAATTCAACAAAGGGCAAAGATGACACAGTAACTTTGGGACCTTTTTAAATGCCTAAACTCTTCGAAAACACTTTACAAGAATTGTAGTTTATGCAATTCTATTTTATTTTTCCTAGGGAAAACGAAACTCTGCCCCGTAGCCTGAAATTTGGAATTTTATAGGATCTCTGATTTACATTTGGCTTTACTAGCAGCCATTACATTTGCAGGTCTAGCAAAATGCATGTTGGAAGCAAACCAGTGCCCACAGTTCAGATGTTTCCAACACAGTAACATGGCAAGATATGATTAAATAATTTCTTGGATCAAAGAGCCAGCTGCTTACAAGATAATATTTGTCTACCTATTCTTGGAAGTGATTTTAATCCTCTTTTGAGGAAAGACAGAAGACATGAGAAGAGGAAGAAACATCCATGCCTTAGGGATACGTAAAACTTCAGTTATTGAGCTGAGATGCTGCCACTCACAGCTACTGACTAGGCAAGAACTGCCTGCAGATCACTGTGAGGACTCCCTAAAAACACGCTTCTAATGTGCATTTTCTATATAGGATTTGGTTTTCAGGTGCAGGACTCTTCATCTTGCTCAAAATCCTGAAAGTATTTACAAGCTGGTTTTGCCTACAGAAGCGAATATTCTCCTGAATCACAATTCTAAGACAATCTCTCATACATCTGTCAACACAAAAATAATGCTTGAATCCAACGGGGAACCTCTCAAGCGTTTTTGTTAATGACAGTCTTACTGGATGTCAGCTTGAAGTTCTTGATGAGTCAATATCAAAGGGAAATTTGAAGCACGTACCCGAACTTTATCAGACTGAAATTAAATAGCACAGTTATACCTCTGCCAGTAGTATAAATGAAAGACTAAATCTGGAGATCTGGACCTCCAATATTTATGGGACTTCCTAGTTCTCAGCCTACTCCTTCCATCTCGTTTAGTTAACTTGGTTTTTTTTGTACATTATTTTGCAGATTAATAGTATTTATTGAAAGAGTCAAGTAGAGAGTTCTGAATCTTGCTTCTCTAACATGAAAAGCAGGTAACAACACATAAACCATGCTATTAACATTTGTGTTTAGGTCTAAAAAAGGATAAAGAATTAATATAAATCTATTTTGATGAGTAATTAAAAAATGGCTATATTGAGCAATATAATTTTAGGACAGCTCCACTATCTAGTCAAGTCTATTTCATGTAACACTGCCAAAAATCTATGAAAACAAGCTAGAAGTCAACCTTTGTAAATGTAATCAATACCTGAAGACACGCAATAAGCAGTGTATAGGCATGTCTTTCTTTCAGAATGGACAATGACCTAACAGTCCGGCACAGGAGATGGAACTGTCATGATCAAACTGCAGTAATCTTTAGAACCAGTCTATGACTCGGCTAAAGACAGTTCAGTGATCACACACGAGGTAATTTTAACTATTTACCTTAGGGTATGTCCTAAATGCTCCAAGATTGACTTTTCCTGCAGATATTGTTCTTGTTGGATCAATCTGTAGAAATATAGGTAATACTTGTCACATGCATTTCATAAATCACTACAGGCCTAAATTAACTTTAGAGTAACTGTATTTCAGAAACGTAAACAGTGCAAATGGTAGTAGTTTTGTCATAAACAATACTTTTTCAGTTGGCATTTGTTGGTATGAGACTCTCTGCTATTGATATTCCCATCATTTCATTCTATGGACCATTTTTTCAAACTCATTTTCCTTATTTCCCAAATATTTAATACTTTAAGGAAATTTCACTTAAGAGCAATCAGTAAACCATAATTAAAAAAAAATCTGCATTTTAGTTTTATAACCATCAGAGATAAGAAATAGTATTTTGGTGGGAAATACAGGAAACTAATGAAGGAATTTCTTTGCTAACACATTTACTAATGCTGTGTTTTAAATTAAACAGGAAAAAAAGAAAGAAAGAAAGAAGCAGTCCCAAGAAAAGTGTCTTGAATCTGTGAAATTATGTGACAACATAGGAGAAGTCACATGTTGGAATTAGTTCTTAAAGGTGATTAACCCTTTTCTAACATAATTCTTCCACGAGAGCTATATTCCTTCTGACTCATTTCAGTCTTTTTTCCTCATATCCTTCACTAGCAATGGCTATACAAGCAGTACTGAAAATGAGGTTTAGTTTGAGACTGGAAGCCTAGAAGACCCTGAAGGGCCCCAAAAGTTTCTTCACACTTTTTCTTCAGAGATAAACTTCCTAGTGACTTTGACCTCGTACATATGCCACTGATGTAATTTTAAAGACATTTTAGATGCAAAAGAACAGAACTCTGTGAAGACACTTGGCTCTATTTTGACAGAAAAATCAAAGTGACCAAAAGAAACTGAATTGAAAAAACCCTCTTGTTCTGCTGCAAGAGGTTGAAAATGGATTGCTCAATACCATTTTTTCACAAAACCTTAAGTTAGGAGTAATGCATGGATTTCTACAGAGCTACCACCCCTGGAACAACACTGCAGAAATGGCCTCAGCGAGCAATACTACTGGCTTGACTAGTATGCGGGCAACAAAGCTAAAGGACCCATTTAAGATTTGGATCCAACACTTTCACCATGCAAAACACATGCTGCTAGAATGTTAACAGACAGAAATCTAAAAATTACTCCCTTCTCAACAACGCTTGCTACGCAGTTTTATCAACCATCAGCCAGTACTTACAACCACTGCTACGAAGGGTTCTTGAAACTGCTGGTTAAGCATCTGGGTACTGACGTCGATCCCCGAGAGCCAGCAGCCATAGCCAGGGTGACTGTGATACCACCCAATTGCATTTTCCAGACGGCCAACCTAACAGCAGTGAAGGAAAACAAACCCAGTTGTTAGTCTCCATTCCGAAAGCATCAGCTGCCCTCTACTGCACCTCCCGGCATACTACAACAGGGTGAGAGGAGGAAAAAGACGCACACAGCCAGCAGTGCTAACTTACTAACACTACACTAAACATACACCTTATTTTGCTAAACTATTTTCTAGAAACCATACAATCTATTTCAACCACTACCACAGCACAACGAACTCCAAAGAGCCAGTAGCTCCTTCTTCAAAAGACAGTGGAAGCACAGAAGAGATTCCACATGGTGAGATGGTAAACTGGGACTCGGCATGGATGAGACATTTCTTAAGATGGATGTATCATCAGTATATATAATCTCATATATATGGTACGTCAGTAAAGAATGAATGTTCATTATTTAGTACAGTAACACATCTCAGAGGCACACAGAGAGATTATTGGTAGGTTTAAAAAAATAACTGCAAAGGCATGTTTTTAAACACTAGAAGTGACAGAAATTATTGCCACAGCATGCTCTGAAAGCCAAAAGATTAATTTTAGAATCAGAAAAACTCAGAATAGGAGTTTCCAAATAATAACCCAGGCTATCTCTACAAATACTAGAAGAAAAACAAACAAACCCAAAAAACCACAGAAGAACAAACACCCATCACACTTAATTTTGTAATCCTCACTCATAAATGGCTTACTGGCAGCTCCATACAGAGTTGAATAGTTTGGGTACAACCCTATATGCCAGTTCTTAACGCAGAGTTGTGTGTTTGGATGCATCACCTGCTTGCATCCAGTATTTGGCAAAACCACCAGGAAGGTTAAATCAGAAAAATGTTAAGATGAGACACAACACGCAAACTACCTACTGAATGGAACATTAATTTTACTTTTGGATTGGTGAATAATATTTATATTTTAATGGAGATAGAGAGACCAACCAAACACTAAAGAAAGTGTTATTTTTCAAAGCCAACTAACACATTTTGACTGTATTAACACTTGATCCTGCCCATGAGGAAGCAAGTAACTGGAAGGTTGACGTCTGCAAAAACACTTATGCAGGGGAATATATCAACTTGCAATCTAATATTAAAGAGAGTTATTCCAGGAACAACTTCTTGCCAAAAACAAATATGGAACAACCAGCATGCAAACTCTGCCAAAACACCAGTAAGGCTGAGGTATTGTATTTGCACACACGTTCAATTTCAAAACTGTGAAACCTACTACAGACAAAACTGTACAGTATAAACAGCTAGGAAAAATGTTCCCTATCATAAAACAAACGGTGTATTTAAAAAATTACTAATTTTATGCTACAAGCTTACTATTTTGAAACCCATTATTTCTACCTAAATACCTAAAAATAAATACATACTATCCAGTTAAAGACAGCTTTTCAAGTTACCTACTTTTCTGAAACAACACTATTAGCATCACGACATTATTAGTTTCCAGATAAAAGGAACCAGATGAAATAAATTATTTCTAAATTTTCTCGTAAAACAGGGATGAATGATTAAAAAAAAAAAAGTTCTAGAATACACCTACTTCTGGATTATGTTTACTCTTTTCTGATGTATGATCAGCCTAATTCACATCTACTTAAAAATCTCTAACTGTATACAAGGCTGTGAATAGAAGTACAGCTCTCTAAAATAATCCAAATACTGCTTGATTACCTCCTGTAAGTAAAGGGCTTCTAATTTTAGCTGGTAAACTGGGCCTCAAAAGTATGTGAGCCAGGCGAGCTGGCGTTATTTCAACGCTTACTCATAGTCTAGATCTGCCCTGCATTAGAAGAAACACATCAGAAAGTGCTCTGATGTGCCGTGCTGGTTTCTCCATCAGCCACAGAGCAGATTGATATTTCTGTTATCCTTCTACATGTGGGAATTTTACTGCATAGTCAGGCTTAATACGGCACGCATCTCTGAACACAGGGCGACAAAGTGGGGGGAACAGACATTTGAGTGAGTTGATCTAAATTCCCCAACTGTAAATATGAATAATGAAGTTGCACTGAAACGTACTTATTCCTTCATTAGCATTTTCTTCACAAGTGTGTTTTATTTCTGTGCCAAGCAGCAGAACAGCTATGCAGTAAGACTGCAGAAAGCGAGAACGTAAGAATAAACATCACATTCCTGATATACAAATAGTATCTCTGACGCACGCGTATTTTATAATTTTGTGTACTGTTTTTTAGAAAGATGTATTTTATCAGTTATTTTAGAAACACACTCTCTCTTGTTCCATCCACAGGCCATAAAAAACACTTCCTGAGCAATTAAAATGATTTATAAAGGAGAATCGAGTACTTGACGGCCTACTGTAAGGCAAATAGATATGAAAACGTCTAGAAGGCCCCGAGTTCCTTGCTGCCGACAGACCTCTTAGCCGTGTTTTGAGAAGAAACACGGCAATCGGACAGACACTTTATCACTGCGGGAGAGGGGGAGGCGGGGTAGCCTGCACATCCCAGAAAACGTTCTTGAGTGATTAGCTTCCAAGATCCGCAGGCACAGCCCGGAGGGGGAGAAACGCCCTTCGCCACTTCTCCTTCCTTACCTGCTTCGCGTTTTCAATGTAGGCGGCCATGTACTCGTAGGCGGCCGCCTGAGCGTTGACGCGAGTCTCGGTGCCCTCCACCGGCAGGGCGAAGCTGTCCATGATGATCATGGTTTCCCCGTCCACCTTGCCCAGCATGAGCCCCATCACCTCCAGGTTGCCCCCCGACCTCGCGTGCATCACCATCTTCAGGAGCGCCAGCGCCGAGATCTTGCAGTACTTGAAGTAATGGTGGCTGCCAAGAGACAGGCCACAGAGACCGTCAGAGCCGGCCCCGCCGCCCGGCCCGCGCCTCAGGCCCGCGCCT